TCTTTTTCCCCCAAACAGTCACCTATCGTCAAATGTATTTAAGACTGTAGTTTTTGCTATAGCAATAGTGAAAGCAGCAGTAATAATAATAATACTAATACTAATAATACCAATAGCAGTAATAGCAGCAACAGAAATAATGGTAAGACTAATAGTAATATTGTTAGAAACTGTAGAAATAAAGAAAAAATAAATACAAATTAATTTTTTTCTTTTCACAAAAAAAGGGAAGGAAAGAAATGAAAGGCAATCTATCTATCTATCTGTCTAACTATCGAAATTTCTGCAACACAAACAAAACGGTTTCAGCAACTTTCAGACGACCAATACAATTTCCGACGATCTGCAAAAAATAATTTTATAACTTTCTTTTTCTTTGTTTTTTTTTTTTTTTTACTCAAGATTAATGGGAACTCAATGAAGAAGAGTAATGAGATTTAGAAAAGTACAGATACACAAATATACGAAGTAAAAAAATATAATTATAACTGAGGTAACGTAAGACTGCTGAGCTAAGTCAATATCAAACCACTGATTAAGCTTCATATAGCATTTACACCGGTTTGATGGCGGTACACATCAGCTTTTACTGTTGTCACTACTGTTACTGTTGTTATTGCTGTTGTTACTGCTGCTATTGCTGATACTGTTGCTCATGTTGGTACTTCTTTTTCTGCTACAAGGAATCCGGATTTGATATCCGTCATCAAAGTCTGATCAGTCGGCATTTGTTCAAGTAAAACAGTGTTGTTTTCCTACTAAAAGACACATGACCGGACCCGTTTGCAGGCTGCGATAACTGCTGCTATTGCTTTTGCTAACCGCTGTTGCTTTCATCAAAAATCAGTGGGGAAGTGGAAAAAACTTCAACTACTGTTTTTTTTTTTTTTTGTTTGCGTGTATGTGCGTATCTGCGTTTCCGTCTGTGTGCATCTGAGTGTATTTATGTGACATATACACAAATTAACCCTTTTTTTTTGTCTTTCATCTCAGTTATATGCACTCATTCAGTTTGCTAATGCTCAATGAACTTACATTTCTTCATTATTGATTCAAATTTAGATCATAAAAATTCTTCTGGATTCTTGAGCACTTTTAGATTCGGTTGTCAGTTGGTTTCCGTTAGATTTGTGGTTGACAGTTGACGATCTGAAAATTAAACTGGACCTAATGATTGGTGTTGATGATAAGGGCAAATAAATACGCAACTAAACAGTAACACATTTGCACTATGACACATTACAGTATCACACTGAAAATATGACAGTTATCAGACAAAACTCAAAAAAAAAAAAAACCAGTATAATCCGTTGAATTCATATGAAAGAATCAAACTTATTTTTCTTTTCTATCTGGTACTAAACAGTAAATACAATAAAAAATACACCATCCTTTTACCAGAACAAAATTTAGTTCAATTTAACCCTACAGACATTCTGTTGATACAGACTGACAAAAACAAAAAAAGATTGACATTCTATAAAAAAAATGGAAAAAAAGTAGAATTTTACGTGTAAAATTAAAAAGCGTTTTTTTTTTTTTTTTTTTTTTTTTTTTTTTT